ATTCTTTTTTTTTTTTATTTTTTTTTTTTATTGAGTTTATTGGTACATTTAGGGATACAGTACAGTTACATTCATTGTTGGGATCATGTACCTTTACATGGCAAGTCTTGATAGACATTTGTTTTAATAATAAAATATAAAATTGGAAAATAAAAAAAGATTCATTTTATATATATGATTTACATAGAGGAAGGATCTTTAAGTGTCACAGAGTAGAATAATTAGTTCTTTATTGCATGTTACAATACACCTGTCACTTGCTTTATCTAACCTGTGTTTGGACCAGTTCATCTTTGAAGAGATGTGCTATATAGGTCTACTTTGTATGTACAAAATAGAAACTGAAAACACTTTAGTAAAAGTCATAGCTATGACTGTGCCTTGGATTTATTTGACTCTGTAAATAGACTGTCTCTGATGATCATTAATGACCAAATGAATAATATCTAAGTATATATTATGTGCCAGGCACTGTATTTTAGGCACCAGGAGTACAAAAAGTAGTAAGACACATTTCTTGCTCTCATTATCCAATGAGAAGAACATTTAAGAGTGACAGTGGTTTTAATAGCAATAGAAATATGAATAGAGAATCATGCTACCAAAGATGAGAGTACCTAATCCTGCCTGGGAGTTCATTGAAGGTTTTCTCCAGAAAGAATGGCTGCTGTAAAGAAATCAACCAATTACAAATGCTGGAGGGGTTGTGGGAAGAAAGGAACCTTTCTCCATTGCTGGTGGGAGTTCAGACTGGTGCAACCACTGTGGAAATCAATATGGAGATACCTCAAACAGCTAAGGATTAGAAGTCTCATTTGACCCAGCTGTTTCTCTGCTGGGTATCTTCTCAAAAGAATTAAAAGAATCATACCACAGTGATATATGCACACCCACGTTTATAGCGGCACAGTTTATAGTAGCTAAAACTTGGAAACAGCCCAATTGCCCATGAACTAGAGACTGGATAAAGAAGATGTGGTGTTTTTTTTGTGTTTATAAAATAGAGTACTACTCAGTCATAAAGAATGAGAAACTAGAGACATTCATAGCTAAATGGGAGCACATTGAGGCCATACTCTTAAGTGAAATTAATAAGACACACACGTATAAATACCATATAGTTTCTCTAGTATGAAAGACTAAAGTGTAGATAAGGATAAAATGTATAATTGATATTGTATAATAGGAAGAAAAGGTCTGAAGGAGTAGGGGAAGTGGGAGAGGTGGGGGAAACTAAGAAGGGAAAAGGAAAAAAATGGAAACAAAGTAGTTATAAGTAAGGAAGGGTGAAGGGAGTGAAAGGAGGGCAGGGGAGTGGGGAAAAACTAAGAACCAAGACCTGTCATGTGAAGGTACAAGATCCCAATAATGAATGTAACTGTATCGTACACCTAAACTGTACCAATAAACTTAATGGGAAAAAATAGAATTATCAACTAAGTACATTATTATGAATTCTAGACCAAATAACAGCATGAATTTAGGCACAGAGGTACAGAAAAAGAAGTACATATGTCCAGGGAACAAAGGAGTTTGGTGTTAACTGGTAAAGTAAAAGATGAGGCTGTACGGATAAACAGAGGCCAAGTCATGTGCCCTATATACTATTTTATGAAATTTAGACTTAATCTTGTCGGCAATTGGGAGCTATTGTGAGGTTTTATTAGATTATATGATCAAATTTGCACTTCTGGTCAATCCATTGAGGGGCATTGCAGTGAGGCAGAAAGCCAGTTTAAAAGAGCTATAGTACATACTTAAATGAGCATGCGAGGGATGAGGGCCTAAACCAGGGTCTTGGCAAAAACTTACACAGCAAAATCGGCACACTTTCACCATTACTTGCATAATAAAAGGCAAGGAGAAAAGGCTCTAGTTCGGCCCCTAGGTTTGTAGATCAGACAATATAGACAATATAGCTGTTCCTACTGACCATGCTCAAATATACAGGAGGAAAAGACAGATTATAGGAGAAGATGATGAGATCAGTTTGGTACATAAGTAGTTTGCAGTGCCTATTGGATAATCGCAGTTAAAATGTCTAGCAAGGAGTTGTGTATGTTAGTCCATACCTTATGAGAAGAGTCCATATTTTACTATAGACTTGAAAGGCAATTCTTGAGAGAAAATGGAACAGGAGCATAGGTGACTGAGGACAGGTCCCTGGACAACACCAGCCTTTGCGGATTGGATGGGGGAAGAGGTATGTATAGGTGGTGCTGGGCAAGGTTGCCAAAGAAGAAAGATGGCACAGGACCCTGCTGAGACAGACAGCTTCAGGAGAGGGAATGATCACCAGATTCAAATTAGTAGTTGGATTAGACAAAACTTACGAGAACATTGGTTAGGAAATGAATAGATTAAAAAGTCTCAAGTCAAACAGTAGACCAGTTTTTAACTTTTTAAAGTTTTAGCTTTCATTTTTTATCAGTGTAATAAGAAATAACACACAATTTTATAATGGCAAATAATGTTACAAAACTTGTGTGAAACAGCAGCTCTCAATGTTGTATCCCTCTTCATTCTCAAGTCCTATCCCCCTTCAATCTTGTCTGTTTTTTCTGTTTTTTTAATCTGTTGCATTTTTCTAAAGAATTCTATTGCTTTTATTTATTGATTTATTTTGCCTCTTTACTTGAGATGTCATCTATGGATGTTCTACAACTGAAGATAATGTAGTTTTCTTATGTCCAGTCCACATACATGTACTCCCATTTATATGTATAGTACAGTTTCATATTTTACATGTTTCTGTTATTAGGAATATGAAAATATTCATAGTTGAACTATATGTTGTTTTAGTATTGCATTTCCTTTATTGCCCAATGTTTTGCTTTTTCCTAATTTTAATATTGCCCATCTTCTTTACTCAGTTTTTTGTATGCCTATTAAAATCTCTTCCCCTAAATTCACGTAAAGTTATGAAAATCTTTTGAAATACAGGAAAGTATAGCATGTCTGTGTATTTTTTCTTCTCGGCAACATCCTTCTTAGAGCCCTTCATCCTCCTGCTGAAATTTAGCTTGTTTGTAACCCAGCGATTCCCTCTACTATCATCATGGGAATTTCCTTGGCCTCTCTCCTGCTTGGGATCCGGTTTGCTGGATCTCGTGTCTGTCGTTTTCTGGGTTTACTCACTCATATGTGTATGTGCTGCAAAAGCGAGCACATTTACTCACTCATTCAGTAGAGCACATCCTTGAGCAGTTTCCTGAGAGAGGTACATAGGAAGTAAAATTTTAAGATGTACTTATACAATATATTTGAATATGTGTTTATTATATCCTTGCCATTGAGGCATAGTTTGGTGTATTTTTATTTTTATTTCTTTTGTTGTTTTTTTTGAGACAGGGTTTCACTCTGTAGTCGAGACTGACCTAGAACTCACTATGTAGCTCAGGCTCATCTTGAACTCACAGCGATCCTCCTGCCTCAGCCTTCCGAGGGCTGGGATTACAGACAGTTTGGTGTATTTTAGAGTGTTAGATTATAAATCATTTTTCCTCAACATTTTGCACTTTTGGGTCCATTGTCTTCTAACTTCAGTGTTGCTGGCTGCAACGTCCAGTTCCATATGTATGAACTCTTTTTACTCGTATCTCTCTAAGCTATCAGAGTTATTTTATTAATTTATAATATTATGAGAATTCATAGTCATGTGCCTTGATATAGGTATTTTTTTGTCATTTATAATTATGTAGACTTTGTATGGCTTCTTTCATTCTGGAGATCTCTGCCTTTAGTTCTGGAAGATATTTAGCTTTCTTTATTCATTTGCTTTTTTTCCCCATAATTATCCTCCTCCACCCCGGATTCTTTGTGTGTATGTGTGTGTGTGTGTGTGTGTGTGTGTGTGTGTGTGTGTATGTATGTGTAAAACTACTTGGGGCTGGGGCTGGGGATTGTTGAACCCAGGTACACCCTAGGCTTGCCTTATTTATGTATTTATTTGTACTCTCAGAATGTGAATTTTCAAGAACTCAGTTTTTCTTCTAATAATATTCTTTTACTCTTCTGTGATTGCAGTTAAACTGCTATTTCTTATCTCTCTGAGGATGTTAAAGGAACTTTTTCTGTAGTTGCCTTCTCTTGTCCGTGTCTCCTTTTCCTCCAGGTTCTATTTCGTGTTTTTGTTGGTATAGCCTCTCAAGTGTCTGCTCTTCTTTCTCCATTCATATTTCAGAACAATTACAAAAACCATTTGGAAAGTTTCCTGGGGGTTGCTGTGAAGTTATTCAGGCACGAATGACTTTTTCTCTCAGATCACCCCATTTCTCTGAAGAAGACGATTGTGATCTCTTGCCTAGGATATATTTGTCTAACTGCCAGCATTCTGTTAACCAAAGGGAGAAGAGGGCAGGGCACAGTAGGTCTTACGCTTGCAGGACCCTTCTGGTTTCAGCCTCACTCTCTCAGTAGCTAAATTTTATTCTGGTGTATGAGTATCCACTTAAGACCCTTTTGGATTTCTTTAGGTGAGTTCCCACTTCTTTCCCGCACTCTACTAAAATGTAATGCATATCTTTTATACTCAATTATTTTTGTTTGCGATTACTTTCTTAGTATGTATTCCTGTAAATAGATTTCTGAGTCAAAGAGAATGTACACAAAGACTTTTTTCCTCATTGATAAATTGTTCTCTCTTCCCTGACAAAAACTGGCCTGGTTTATATGCCTGTTAGAGATACATGAGTATTCTTATTTCCCTAAATTTGCTACTATTTATTTGTATTCATCTTAATTAAATATTAAATTAAATTAAATTCATTAATTTAAAATTAATGAATTAGGTTTCATCGATGACTAATGTTTTTCCCGAGATGAACTTTCTGAATCTGACCTTGGAAATGATTGAAATAGTAATGGTTTATTAACACAAGCAGAATTAAAGTCAATTATTTTATAACTATAAAGGTTGCCTGGCCTGATGTTCCCTTCTTCAAGATAGTGTTGTTTTAGTATTCTTTTTTTAAAATTGTATTGGTATATTTTACGCATACAATATAATGAGATTCATTATTGGATCCTTTACATAATATACCTTGATTCTTATTTTTTTTTGCATCCCCTGCCCTCCCTCAACCCCTCCACCCCTCTCTATTTACAAAGACTTTATTTCATTTTCTCAGGTTAATTCCATTCCCTTCTTATACTTTTATGTTAATATCGTCACACTCCCAGGACTATTTGATACAACTCCTGATTTTTAAATAGACTGTCCATTGGAGGTGCACTACAGTTATTCTTTGTTACTTTTTTTTTGAGGAGGGGTACTGGCGTTGGAACTCAGGACCTTGTGCTTGCAAGGCAGGCATTGTGCCACGGAGCTAAATCTCTAGCCCTCTTTGTCACTTTTTGAATGTACTGATGGAGTAGAATGTTACTTGGATAAATGTTATTGCATATTTAAACTGCGTAAAGGCAATGATGGGTAAAGTTAAGCTGTGTCACAATTAGATGGAAAGCAAAATATAAATCCTAGGACCCACTAGACCCCTATAACTTTCATGCCCTGGGAATGAGGCTTATGATTTAACAATTTATAATTTCGATATTGAATAATAATCGTAAGCTACATATATAAATCATAAATATTTCTGTGTCATAAAAGATACAAATTGTAATTTAAGAAACTTATACAAAACAGTGTAATATAGTTGGATTATTGTCAGCAAATCTGTCTGAAAATATACATATTTCTTAGCAGGCCTTTTTGAGTTTAAATATAAATGTGAGATATAGATAATATCATGAGACTATAAAATAATTGTTTTGGGTAATTTGAGCATTTGCCAGTGGCCATAAAATTGATCTTCACTGCTACCTACAGGTCTCAATTCATAATGTTTAAATTAATTCAGATAAATATGCCTTATAGGGCTGGGGATTTAGCTCAGTGCTTCTGGCGCCTGCCTTGCAAGCACAAGGACCTGAGTTCAATCCCTGGTGCCAAAAAAAAAAAAAGCTTATAAAACCTTTATGTTTTTCTTTCCCTTAACTTTTCATCTTTCTCTCTTGTTGGCAATTACTTTATTCTGTTTACAAAAATGGTGATTGTCCATTGCTCCTTGTAGTTTGTGTTACTAAATAATATTTGGAATTCCCAAAATGAAACCCTTAAATCGGCTATTTTTTTCTCTTTAAGCAGGAATTTAATAAAGGTTAAATATAGGTACATCTATAATTATGCTTTAATTAATTGTGTGCAACTGAAATAATGTGGTTGCCCTGTCAAATTTTGTCAGTGATTTCAAATAGGATTTATGTAGTTAGGGACAGTAAAATATGATAAAACACTTCGGGACCAAAACTATAGTTGATAATTTAGCTGTTTCCTTGAGATTGAAATATGACCTTTGGAACAAATATTTCAGGCACCATTTTGTATTTGAGCTGTAATATAATAGCAAAATAAACATGGTTAATTCAACCAAGTTTTATATTCCTTTACTATCAGTTCAGGCATTATTTTTAGGAAGTTGGTTTTAATAGAATTTGAAAGTTTATTTTTCATATTCAGATTTATATTCCTCTCTCATTTTAATGAGAAAGTTACTGATTTACTCAGTGTTTTATAAAACCAGCACTACTACAAGAACAAGAATCTCCCTGAATTTATTTGTGCTTACTTTTGAAACCAAATTGCTCCTAAAGGCATCTGATCTGTTTTGCAGCAGTATTTTAAACATACAGATGCCTGCTTCTGCACCATTAATATTGTAAATAATTGCATTAAAGCCTATCCATAGATTAACATTACTGTTAATGGTCTTCAGAATTTTAAGGATCACTTTGTATTAATAATAAATGGTGGGATATAATTTAAGAATTAATTTTTTTTCAGTTTTAATTGAGTTTCTTGGTACATTTTAGGAATACAGTACAGGTGCATTCATTGTTGGGATCTTCTACCTCTACATGACAGGTCTTGGTTTTCATTTTTTCCCCATACCTCTGCCCTCCCTTTACCCCCTCCTCCCCTCCCCATCTACAAACACTTTATTTCCATCTTTTCATTATCTCACATTTTTTTCCTTTCCCTTGTTACCCTTCCCCTACCCATCCCACCTTCCCTACACCTTTAGCCCCTTTCTTCCCATTTCACAATGTCAGTCATCTTATTAGGATCTTATGTATTATTGCAGTTTATTCACACCAGAGAAACTAATTGGTATTTACACGTGTGTGACTTATTTATTTCACTTAGGAGTATATCTTCAATATGTATCCATTTTCCTATGAATGAATCTATTTTCTTGTTCTTTATTAAGAATTAATTTATAAGAATTAAGCTAAGATAATTGAATACTATATTATTTTTAGGTTTTTATATTCTTTCACATCTTCTAATATGTATTGAAGTGTCTCACTCAAGTACAGTATGCACTGCATCAGTTCTACCCTTGAAAGGGGATTGAAATCAGTTGTATTTGAGTTTATGATACAGTGTATGAAGAATATGTGTCTAGAAAGTTTAATTTCTGCAGAACGAAATAATAAACTTGATGTACTTATTGTGGGCTCTCAGTGTGGCCCTATGGATGGCAGTGCAAGAAACAAGGCCTTTCTTTCATGGAGTTTGCATTCTAGTAGGTGAGACAAATATGTACAGTACAGTAATATGTTGACTGGTTGACTGGGGGTAAGTACCTTAACAAAAGCATAGCACAAGATGATTTAAAGAGACAAGGGAACTTCTCTTTGCTTACAAGTAGCCAGGAAAATTCTTAGGAGGGCACATTTGAGTAGACACTTGAATAAACTAAAGAAATTAGCCATACAATTCTATTGGAGAAGACAGGCAGAGAAAACAAGTATAAAGCCTCTGAAGAGGAAGGTGTGTGTGTGTGTGTGTGTGTGTGAGTGAGTGTGTGATAAATAAAAGCCACATATTCTCCAACTGAAATAACATATATACTTTGATAAATACAAAATAAATTATAAGATAATGATTTTATGTATAATTACATTTTTAATTAAATAGGTTTGTCTCCTCACATGCATTGTCTAGGGTTGGAGTGCAGACGGGTGCAACCACTATGGAAATCAATATTGAGATACCTCAAAGAGCTGGGACTAGAGGTTCCATTTGACCCAGCTATCCCTCTTCTGGGTGTCTTTCCAAAAGAATTAAAAGAATCATATCACAGTGATACATGTGTACCCATGTTTATAGCGGCACAGTTTGTAATAGCTAAAACTTGGAAACAGCCCATTTTCCCATCAGTTGGAAACTGGGTAAAGAAGATGTGGTTTTTCTATAAAACGGAATATTACTTGGCCATAAAGAATAAGAAATTAGATTCGTTCATAGGAAAATGGATACATTTTGAGGATATACTCCTAAGTGAAATAAATAAGTCGCATAAGTGTAAATACCGAATAGTTTCTCTGGTGTGAAAAACTATAATAGTACTCAAGATCCTAAAGGGATAATTGACAATGTGAAATATGAAGAAAAGGGCTAAAGATGTAGGGAAAGTGGGAAGGGTAGTGGAAAGGTAATAAGGGAAAGGAAAAAATAGGAGAAAATGAAAACATGGAAATAAAGTGTTTGTAAATGGGGAGGGGAGAAGGGGTGAAGGGAGGACAGGGATAAGGGGAAAATATGAGAACCAAGACCTGTCATGTAAAGGTACAAGATCCCAGTAATGAATGTAACTGTACTGTATACCTAAAATGTACCAAAAAACTAAATAGAAAAAAAATTCTGCAAAATTCATGTTTTATTAATTGGTTTTCTCTCCTTTTCATTTTCCCCATCTTTCTCTATGTATCCCTTTCTCTCATCTCTTCCCATCTCATTTTAGTGAAATTGGAACGATTTGAAATTCCAATCAAGGTTCGTTTAAGCCCAGAGCCATGGACCCCTGAAACTGGTTTGGTAACTGATGCTTTCAAACTGAAGAGGAAGGAACTGAAGAATCATTACCTCAAAGACATTGAACGAATGTATGGGGGAAAATAAAATGTTGCTGTCTTATTTACAGTTGTAGGGGAGGTGGCCTCGTAGTTTTTTCTGTTCTGGAGTTTCAGTTTTTATGGAACTGTCTGTTAGAATGTAAAGTGAATCATTCTAAAGACATGGTAATTAAAACAAAAAACCCAAAACTGATTAAAATAGTTATTGAATCTACTTTAACTTAGTTTTGCTTAGTTCTAGTGAAGCTGAAATTGAAAATTTATTTCCCTTTAGCTGTGTTAATTTTAGAGCAGAAACTCTGATTTTAAAAATTAGCCTAAGATACACATTTTCCTAAAGAAAAATATTTAATGTTGAACAACATAAATTGGAGTTGGAATAGAATGTAGTTTGAGGAAATCTGCAACTTCCAATGTCTTCCTACTTCAGAAGTTTAATTATTAAGCATGACAAAAAGTATGTATTAACACTACTCAAAGCAGAAGTGCTTCAGGGCTTTAAAATTCTCTTCCAACATCTTACCTTAAAGGGAAAATTCAATCATAATATGATATAAAGAGGCAAATAATACCTTACGAAGTGTTATTTTAAGATCATAATCATTGCATAGGTTAGACATAGAACCATTAAAACATTGTGAAGAATTACAGTGCCTAAAGTAAAAATGAAATAACATACATACCAAAAATATTTAGTAATACATTTGAAGGGAATTTGAACTGGTCTTTGAAATATCGAGATATAAAATGAGTAACTGCAATTATTTAAATGACTTGAAAGTACATTTTTTAAAATGCTGAAAATCGCTTCTCTGTGTTCAAAATGAAAGACTGAAATCAAGAGTAAAATGATAGAAAAGTTAATCAAAATTTAACAGTAAATATATTCTTTGTTAGAAAACGTGATAAAATCACTACTTTTCGGAATTATGTCCCTTGACATAGCACTGAACCTGGGAAGGAGATTTGGACTCTGGATTTATCTTTGATAACAGGGATTGATTTTAAAATGCACTCGTATCAAAATTACATTTGTAATTTATGACCTGTTTTCTGTTGCTGATTTGACTCTTGATCAGTAGTTTTCATTTCAGAGAGCTTTTCATTTTGCTTTAATTTTAGCAAAGCAGGTTATGATGAATAACTTCCCAATTTCTTATTCAAACCTACGGGTGATTAATTATTTTGGATGAGTTTTGGGAAGTCAAAGGGAAGAAAACACTGTTATCGTTTTTTCCTGTTTGTGAAGAGTTTCGAAACTGGAAATGATAGATTTGGGAAAAGGATAGAGTTACTTGATAAGCGGTTTATGTTTATGCAGTAACTTGGAGTGTGAGTTTCTTTTATCTCTGATAGATATTCACATTTCAACCATAGTTACTGTAAAAAGCAAAATTTTTAATACTGTTATTCTTTGCACACCATATATATATATATGTGTGTGTGTGTGTGTGTGTGTGTATATATAT